AATGAATAAAAAAATAAACTTGTGTAGGTGGTTTTGGCTCTACATGACTAAATATTTGTTACCAAATTAGGACCCACCCTGGATGCCTGACCTCATAGCATTAAATAAACTGCTCATAGCTGTAACTACTGTATTGGAGGAAAGTGGATGAGGGAGCAATGGGACAAAAGGCCCAGCAGTTACACTGAGTGTATTTAGACAGGGTTGTTAATTGACTTGAAAAAGTATCCTGCTTTGCACCAGTCCCTTTAACAGCAATGCATTTAACATGTTACCAGATAAATTGTTCATATCATAAACATTATTTATCGTTAACATTGTTCAAAAAGGTATCAGCCTTTGGCTTAGGTATCAGCTCAAGGCAAGAACCCAGTAATTCTAACCACAGCAGCAACCTCAAATAGATTGGTTATAAAGGGTATTCTATATGTTTGATCCAAGTATCTATAAAGCTGCAATCATACCCCATTGAATTCAGTGAATATGGCCACAGTTACCCATGCTTCTGGTGTAAATGGTACTGAAGTCATTGTTCCTGAGCTTTATTTAGGTAGCGGAATGGTCAGGGGCCTGCCTACCTGAGGGACTGCCTTTCCCCGTACGTTCCCTCGAGAGCACTGCGGTCTGGAACACAACACTTGCCTGGACCCCCCGGGCCTAGGGATGCCAGGTTGGCGGTAACTAGGACCAGGGCGTTCTTCCTGGTGGTGCCAACGCTGTGGAATGAGCTCCCCAACGAGATTAGAGCTCTACGGGACCATCAGCAGTTCCGTAGAGCCATAAAAACGGAGCTGTTTCGCCAAGTGTTCCAATAAAAACTGACTGCTCCGGTGGGGCCGCACTAGCACTTTATTATAGGATGTCGCTATATTTATTTACTTAGTCTTATTGTATTTAATGAAATTGTATGAATTGCATTTTATATTTTGTATTTGCTGGTTTTAAACTGTATGTTGGTTTTAAATTGCTTGTAAGTCGCCCTGAGCCGCTTCGGAGGGAGGGCGGGGTAAGATTCTCGAAGAGGCATGTGAGGGATACAATCCTTTTTTTTTATATATAAATTTATTTTCCATATTTTCACCTTTACATTGTATTTTATCCATACAATTATAGTTTCCTTATTTTATACATCTCTAGTAAGGGATACAATCCTGAAAGGATTATCTGGAGCACCCCTGAAAGTGGGGGAGAATACCATCAGAACGTTGAAAGACATTCCATTTGTTAAGTAGTCCCACCACTACAGACTCTGTGGCCCTAGTTAGGTAGTCCCACCCCTACAGACTCTGTGGCCCTAGTTAGGGAAAAATTGTGTGACTAGCACCACTTGTAAGCCGCTCAGAGACCCCCTGAGAAAGAGGGTTCGAGCAGGATATAAAGTCGAAAGTTAAATAAATAAATAAAATAAATAAAATTTGAGATAAGACAAAGGAGAAAGAAATATAGAAGGCGTAACCTTCAAAATCAAGGATAAAAAAGAAAAGATTGACTCTGTACAGAAAGCACGGGATTTTTTAAGAGTCCAGTTGGGAGGGCCAGGGAAAGAAGGAGAAAAGGGGGAGGACAATAAACCCCCCCCCCGGGGGCTTTAAAAAAAAAAGATCAGAGGCCCTGGCATACTGTACTGTTGGCATAAAACAAACACACTGCTGAAATGGCTTATAGGCATGCATTTTGCATACAAGGTCAAACACATCAGTTGGGCCCTGTGGTAAGGACTGCTAGGTCACTGCCTAGAGACAGTGCCTGATCATATATCCTTCAATGAACACAGGAAGCTACTTCTACCTGGTAGACTATGTACTGTCACAGGTTTTCCAAGGTCTCAGGGAAAGAAAGGGTTCCCCCCCACCAGCATCTGCTACTTGAGATTTTTTTAGTTGGAAATGCCAAGGCTTGAACCTAGCAGGTGCTTACCACTGCGTCATGTACCTCCCCCCTCACTGAGTCACTAAGACAGGCTGCAAGTTATACGTGTTTAATAGGACTCTCTTCAACAGACCACTGATTACAAAAACTAAACCATCAGGAGAGTAATTTAAAGAGAAGAGAATCAAGGTCCTGGGACTCTTAGATTATAAACAGCTATTTATAAGGGAATAGTAATTCAGTGACTTTCCCAGATTTTTAAAGTATTTTTAGGGGCCAGGATCTTTTTTTTTTTAAACACCTAGGTTTAACCTTGCAACTTTATGGTGGGTACAGAAACAGGCCAGACCGTAACATTCAGGACTATATCCAGCAAATCTACATTTAAGAGGAAGCCGAGATGCCAATAACAATAAGCATGGTAGAAAGTGCTGTCAAATCACAGCTGATCTACGGCAACTCTATAGGTTTTTCTTTTTGCAAAGAAGTTTCTTTTTTTTCTTTCTTTTCTTTTTTTGTTTCTTTTCTTTTTCTTCTTCTTCTCCTTTTTTTGCATTTTATCACCTATATCCTAAAGGGAAGGGAACATGGGGTAAACACTATATCTAAAACAAAAGATAAGACAAGGATCATGATCTAAATGTTACAATGTATATATAACAATCCTACAATAACAAAGATCAATTTATCAAAATTCAGGTTAATGCTAGCTTAATCTTAATACTAGTCTCTGGTGTTTTATAATCATTTATATTCTGTTGAAATATCCGTTTATCTTATACGTTTCTTCTTGTTGTACTTCAGATTCTTTTTAGGTATTTTAGGTGCAGCTACCCCTTTCTCAGAGTCAGAAGTTTCCGGGGTACTGCTAGAGCTACTCGAGGTGTCTTCTGTTCCTCCATCACTGGTTCCCTCTTCTTCAATATTGTCCACAGGTTTTTTGTCATCTTTATTCAGGCTTTCTTTGGCTTGGACAGAGTCAATTTTATTCTTCTTATCTTTATAGTTGAATACAAGTCCCTCTGGAAAAATCCATCAATAAGCGATTGAGTTGTTGTGGAGGAAGAAGGTTAAATCCTTGTATTGCCACCTTCGCTTCCGCATCTCGAATGGAATGTCCTGTAAAATTTTAATTTCTTCATCTTTAACCTTCAGAACTTTTCCAGATGTGGCTTTCAAAACATTTTCTCTGGTAGATCTCTTAGAGAATTTCACGTATATTTCTCCAGGCAGTTTATTTTTCTTTATAAAATCTGGATAGGTTCGATAAGCCAAGTCCATATCATTTTGCAACGCCTCTTGCTTAAGATCTGTCATTGGTGCTAACGCTTCATTTAAAATTACTTTTAAATGTTCTCCTTTTTGCTCAGGAACACCTTGAAAGTGTAAGATACATTGATCTTTCAATTTGGGGCAACTCTATAGGCTTTTCAAGGCAAGAGACGTTCAGAGGTAGGTTGGCAATATTCATAGAAAAAGGGAAAAAGTTATGTGTGTGTCGTAGTGATTAATACTGGACTAGGCTACGGAAAACCCAGGCTCAAATCCCGAGTCTACTGTGGAAGCTTGCTGGGTGACCTCAGGCCAGTCACTGTCTTTCAACCTCACCTACCTTATAGGGTTGTTGTTGCCAACAGGCCTTATTGTTTTAATAGTAGCTTCATGTGTGGAAATTGTCAGCTGATGCTTTTCATGACATGAAAGTAAATAAACATCCCATTAAGCTTATATTATACAGAGAGGACATTTCCCCCCAAGCCTGTTTGTAATCCTACTCCACAGGGTTATTGTAAATACAAAATGTGAGGGTAGGAAGGTGAGAACCATGTATGTCCTCAACACTTTACTGAAAAATCAGCTACTTTTGTTATAGTACAGCATTGCCACTCTGCAGAGAGAATGAGAAGTTTACTTCCTATGTATCTCAACAGTCTGCTTTTTCTACTAAACTATAGAAAATACATATCCAGATACCTTTCATTTTCTCTTCCCTGTAGCCTCTCTCCTTTTCCTGCTTTCTTCTCTACTTTTTATCCAGCAGACAAACTACCTTTATCTATTCCTTTCTTCAACTTTCTTTCCCTTTTGCTCCCACCAGCCTGCCTGGGAAAACAGCGAGGAACCTGCATGGATTTGCAGGTGCACACCTCACGTTCCCCTGTATCTTCCTCCCTATGCTATTTCCTTCTCAGGACCTCATCTTTTCCTTCTCTTCTTCCTTCCTTCCTTCCTTCCCACCCACCCACCTTCCTTCCATATGCCCCCATCTTCAGCTATATTATTATTTTTATATACTGTGTTTTCCCACAGTGGTGACCTCATGCACTTTATATCATTCTCTTCTCCTCTTTTTTATCCTCACAACAACTCTGTAAGATGTAACTGGCTCAAGATCACCCACAGAGTTTCCACAGCAGAGTGGTGATTTGAACCTAGGTCTTCCAGATCCTGTTGTGATACGCTTAACCATTCTAACACACTGAGTTTTGTGGAGTGGCTGCTGTTAAATACTAGAAAGCAGCTCGAGCTGAGTGAGTCAAGCAAGTTGTATGGCAGCAAGTCGACCGGTGGTTCCTGACGGGTTGGCCCCAAGAAGTCCCATCTTAGAGATCAAAGCAACCCTAGAAAAGGTGGTATGCCCCCCCTCCCTCTACTGACAGAAACCAAGGCGTGAAAACTGGCAACACTGTATGATTGCCTGGCAATGGTCACTGAGAGCACCGCTTCTGAAAGCTACAGGCACTGATCCTATTATTTGAGTTTTTTGATCCCTCCCCCAGTGTATTTTTATATATATTTCAGATTTTTCTACAAACCCAGGGCACTTTGTAGGCTTGTGGAAAGACTGGACGTTTTGAGAATTAGATAAACTGGTACCTTTCTCTCCCCCGCCCTCCGCCCTCTTTACCTCCTCAGCAGTCGGCAATGAAAGTAAAGGCAGAGCCATCGCCGCTTTCCTTTACGAATGGGCATGTGCGAGCCTTGCGCACAAGCCTACGAGGCAAGGGCGCTTCAGGTGCGTGAGCATGTGCAGAAGCAGAGGGTGAAGGCCGGTCTCGCGCGGGCTGCCCTGAGCGGGTGGGCGAGTGAGGCGAGCAGCCTTGGCTATCGCACGGGCCCAGCTTGTTCTTCCACTCCCTCCCCCCTTCTCCACCTCCCCCCTTGTCTCCTCCCCCAGAGTTGGGAGGCTGCTCTTAACGAGGAGCGCCCCCTTCCCCCCCTCCTCCTCCCCATGAGCGGCTTCTCTGCTGGTTGTGCCTGCTGCTGCCGGCTGTTTTTCCTCCTGCCGCTGCCCGGCCTGAGATGAGAGGACAGACGTGACGCTTCCCTTTGACATATAAACAAGGTAAGGGAGGGGGGAACGGGGGGGGGGAGGTTGTCTTGCGCCGTTGCCTGCGCGGTGTCGTCGGAGGCGACAGTGAGCTTTTTTGGCCCGCAGAGAAATGGCAGCGGCCGCTCAGGGGTTGAACCCGGCCTCAGCAGTGGTGGCCGCCGAGGCTGAGGTGGACGAGCCCTCGCCTCGCTCTCTCTCCCCCCCCCCCCCAAGGAGGGGAGTGTGGATGTGTTCGCAGCGACGAGGCCAAACGTTCTCCCTTGGTTGGGGGCCGCCTCATCAGGCGGATGTTTGGCCCCCACCACTGCCCTGGATCTCTCCCCCCCCCTTTATTTTTTTGTCTTTTGAAAAACTATGTTCGGCATCTGAGCACTGGCTGGCCCTAAAAGGATCTCACTCCTCCCTGCCCCCGAGGGTCTGGAGGGTATTTCCGTTGTGGGGAGTGGGAAATCGTGTTCTTTCCCCCATCTCTGTTTCTCTATAGGTTTATGTCTGCGTCCCCTATGGAGGACTGGTCGAAAGGATCCCGGGTCATAAAGTGGTTTTGGAAAGTCCCTGAATCCCCGTAACTGTGATTCCCCCCCCCCCCTCCTCTTGGTTAAACGGTTGTGCAATTTTTTGCGGGTGCGTGTGTGCACAGCGAAGGAAACGAGAACGGGCAAGGAAACCATCTGTGAGATGGTTGACCGTGCTGACTAGGCGAAGGCTGCTCTGTCAGGTTTTTGTTTGGTCGTGTCATCTGAATATTTGTGGGGTACTCGAGTCATTGTAGAGGAACCGAGGGGGGTGGGGGGAGATGTGAAAATGTCAGCGCAGCTCCCTCTTGTCCCCATCATTGCTGGCTTGGCTTTGTTGACGATAGCGGGAAGGGAGGGGAACATAAGTGGGGTAATCGAGGCCATCGCCGCTGCCTGGAAGTGAGGCGGCTTCAGTCCGTCCCCTGTCAAATGAGATGACTGCATTTTCAAGCCAAGCCATTTCCCTTCTCTTTCTCTCCCCCACCCCTTTACTTTCAGTTTCTCGTGTATATATGGCCTCCCTTCCTGGATGAGACTTGCATATGTAAATCCTTGGTAGAGTGTCGGATAAGCTGTTATCGGGGAGCGTTCCTCTGTGTGTGCAAAAGATAGCCCTCCCCCCTCCACTTTTAATGACAAAACAACAACAATCCAGTACCCGGCGTGGCTTACAAATATTTTCCACGTCTACGAAGAACGGATGTGGATCACTGCCCTCTTCACGTGACTTTTTTTTTCAAGGAGGAGAGTTGTAAATGCGCCTTGACATGTTCTTGTTGCTGTTGGGGGGTTCTCTGTGTTAGTCCAGTAAGATTAAACGACTGCTGTAGCTTGCAGTGTTTTCTTCTACTCTTCGTTGGTCATGAGACTTGAATGAGATTCCCACTTCTAATTGAGCGCAGGAAGTAAAGGGAATGGTCATATGATGATTCAATTCTAGAAAGGGAAGGCAGATTGGCTTCTCCTATCACCGCACTTCTCTTAAGCTGTCATTATTCTAGGGAGATATTTGACCACTGTATTCACGTGAGCAGAATAGTAGGCCTATGTCTATGCACATTCCAAAAATCATAATGTATTTCTATGTTACAAAGAAGAAAAAGCAGGTTTAAGCTAGCTACCACTACAGGAGTTGAAACTCACAGGAACTATTCAATATTTAATAAAGAAGAAAAAAAATGATGCAAATTTCCCAGTGTTAAGTTTGGGTGTTTAAGGTGACATTGGTGATCTATATGGCTTATTTTTGCAAGTTTTACTTGAGCATGAAGCAGGAACGAGGTGTGCTAGGTCAGAATATTCAACTAAATTCTGTGTCAACTCATGTTTAGAAGTGAAATAGAATACTTTGGTGAGACAAACAATAGAAGGATTGTGGCTAGTACAGACAATGCCCTGTACAGAGACATGGGAGTGTCATCATGCTTGTCTGCCTTTCTGTTGCCCTTGCACCTTTGTCACCAGCAAACCCATTTTCAGGGGTTTAGAAATAGCTCAGGAAACTGTCCCTTTCCCAAAATGCAACCAGTATTGCTGTGATGTCTATATATTATTGTGAGAATATCAGCTTTCAGGTAATGTCTGTTGATGAAATACTAGTTCACCACTCTTGCCCACACAATTTTGTGACTGTCTTGAAATTATTTTTTATGAGAATAGCATATCTAGGGTTTTGCAGTGAATTGCTTTAGTAGGCCTGCATTATAAGACTGAAAAACAAAACTTTACACATGTAGATATTTAATTATGTACAAGGATGTTTGAATATTGTTTATATTAAGCTGTAATAAATAATGCAGATTGATTTTAAAATTTTATATGCAGATTAAGTCTGGTACCGGCATATATGTTGTGATTGTTTGCTTTGTATGAGACTGGCTTTACTGTCTTGCTTGGTCGTTCCATAAAAACTATTCAATCTAAATGAAGATGAGCTGATTGAAATATAAAATTAAAATTCTATAGTGTAACCCCCCCCGAAACAAACCCTTCTTCAATAATTTGTGGTAGAAAATGGATGTAAAACAAGGTTGCATTGTTTGTGACTGTTTATGACCCTTTGCGGCCTTTTCCTTGTCTTCATTCTACTGCTATTGTAGTGGTTCATTTGGTGACTGGTCACTGCTCAGGTACAAGTCTAGGTGATTTGGATACATTCTATAGGTCTTTTGTTAGTCTGCTTCTGGTCTAGTGTGCTTTCTCTGGTATAGAGAGGCAAAATATCTATGAATTTTAAACGAATAAAAAAACTTTTCTTCTGACTTCTTTGGGAAAGAACTGAAACTTTTGGGGAAAACAATATACAAGTAGTAGTGACAAAAATCAAAATCTTAAATTACCACTTTAGGTCCATGAAACGAAACATTGGAATTTACCTGTAGGTTTCTTCTCTTCAGTGGGGCGAAGTCATCCAAACTGGTTAGGTCACGCCTCCTCTCGCTCCAGGCAGGGCTATGCAAATTTGTGTAGACTGTATTGGCTCAGAGTGAGGCTGACCCTCCAGTCTTAGTATAGCCCAGCTCTATAACAGATTTTATGTCCAACTAGATTTTATTCTGTTTTATTTTATTTTGGGTGGGATGTGAATGACTTCGCCCCACTGAAGAGAAGAAACCTTCAGGTAAGTTCCAATGTTTAATTCTCCTTCAGTGGGGGAAGTCATCCAAACTGGTTATATGCCCAAACTACAACCTGAGTGGGATCCTCATTCTTTTTTTAATCTGTTCTATTGCTATGCTGCACACCTATCTACCAGATGAAACTTCTGCTGATTTTAACTGGTCCCACCTATAGTGTCTCACACAGGTATAAAAGATGGACCAGCATGTGACTCTAACAATTTCTTCCACTAGAACACTGGTGGAAAAGGTCACTATGTTACTGCAGATCTGGTGTAGTGGGCCGTAACATCCTTTGGAGGTCCTAGGCCTTGCACTTCATATGTCTCTCAGATATATGGCTTGAGACCTTTTTACCTAAAGGCTGAGCTGTGAGACACAGACAGAAAATCCTTTAGTCTAATCTGCACCATCCTATGAAGGAGGCACACAGAGCTCTGAGTACGTCTAGTTTGTGACAGACTCTCTCGTTGGGGTAACATGGTATACGACAAAAAGATGGTAGTATCAACTCTTGGTTAATGTGATAAAGGAAAAAAACTTTGGCACAATGGAAAGATCCCTCCTGAGTACCACCGAGATCTTGTGAAATATACACAATTCTGTCCTGGACAATAAAGCCCCTGATGTTGCCGGTGCTAGTGTCCTTATCGGTGAGATCAGCCACTGCTTGGCCAGGTACTCTTAGCCACGGAAAAGCCAACCTGATTCCTGGTTGCATACACACAGGGCTGGGGGAGGCCCAGGCCAGACTAAAGGCCTAAAGAAGGAAGGCAAAAAAAGAGCAGGAAAATCCCTGAGCAGCCACCCTATTGGAATTTCCCTAAACTGCCGAAACTGGGGAAGGCCTAAGAGAAGGCTGGGGGGGGCCCCCTGCTCTGCTGCATTTGCTTGGATCAACCCTTTGTTCACCTTGGGGGTCCTCATCCCACTGCCCCTATGTCTTTTTATTTAATAATCTCTTTATTGGGTTTTCCAAAACAATCAATCAAACAAAG